TGGGTCTTGGACTAGTTCAATACCATGTGGTCATAGAGCTAAGCCAACTAGCGTACATTAGCGCAAAATAAATTTAATGCCTTCATCAGTTACTCCTTCATGAGTGAAAACGAACGCGAAAATCCTTCCTCAAGAGCCAGTTCGATGCCATGGAAAGCAACTAACAGTAAGAACAAGATGAAATGCGCGCCCTTGCGCCAATCTCAGCCCGCACGCGAACCGCTCGCGCAGCCAGCCCGGTAGGAATAGATGGCGCCGTGCCTGGTCGCAAGGTGAGAATCGTTCGGTCCCAGGTGGAATAACTGAAGCGCGCCCTTTTTGAACCGTCACTCCATCCTTTTCAGTTACCGTCTTTTTCCTTTGATCAAGCAAAAAATAAAAGCATGTGATATACGGTGTTCGTAGCCACGAGGTATCTGAGCGGTGGTTGTCCGACAAAGCTAGCAGGGAAAGGTGAATAGCTTTCTGCTTTTGGTTCCCGTGTGATAAGATTGTTAATGATTCATCCACAGTAAATTGCAATGGTGCGTTCCACCCATGGCCCGCCGTGGAGGCCCACCTCCCTGCCAATTTTTGGAAAGGCTTGAAAAGCCAGCACTTTGTGTCCCCATCCAGACGGTCTTAGCATGATTTTCGTTGAGTTTCAGCATAACCTTTTTTTGCTTGACTGAAAAGTACATAGAGCTTGTCAGTCTGCTCTCCAGTCTCTTTGCTCTTTGCGAAAGTGCGCATACGCAACGCAAATTCAGGCCAGTAAGAGTTCGGTCTCTGATCCTGATTGGGGCACACTATAAATATATCTTTAGAAGGAAGAAAATGTGGCAAAAATTGTACGTTCTATGACTCATATTATAGCGCGTTATAGTTCCGTCACAAAACTTTTGCTATGCCCCGTACGAACAATGGATGAACTTACATTGTCTGTTGATCATTCTTTTGTCTTTTTTGAAGCTATATTTTATTGATAGAGCTCTGTGCTATGGAGAGGTTTTATAAATGAATGATATAAATCGGCAGAAAAGTTAACGTCAAATGGTCATTAAGTGCTTTTTAGGTGGTAATTTATGTTAGTGCAAGTGAAGTTTATGACTCTGGCTATCAAGTTTCATGCGATAGTCTACACCCTCCTGCGCATGCGGACAAATTTATTTTACTAAATATATCTTCCTTCTTTGTGTCTAACTGTACCTTGTCTTCTGTCTCTTTAATGTTTCCTTGAAAATTGACAGTTAAAATATATGCCGCTGTAAAAAAAAATTCCCGTTTCATCTGTGCAATCGCAGCGGTGTTTCTGTCTCGTTTCGTCAATGTAACAAACGAGTTCATGTTGCGCCCTTTTCTCATTTGAGATATCATACCAGCTGATCACAGTCCAATGTCGCTCAGTCTGTAAATTTCTGATCTAAGAGTTTTCATCAATTGTTTTTTCAAAAATGGCTCACAAAAAATTATTTTGAGGAGAGAAAGAGGAAATTTCGTGAGCTTTTTTTCGCCGGAATTTTTTTATTCAAAAGTTGTTCAAGTATGGTACCACATCTATTTCAATAATTTTTTTGATTTGATAAAGAACTTGGCAACCTGTCATCAATTTTCCCTCCCCCCCCCCCCTCCTTTTTTCCCCTCTTCCTATCCTCTGGGCTTATCGTTACAATATATAAAGTTTGCACTTTCTCCCCGCTGCAGATAACCAAGGTTTTCTTACTGGCTGCAGAACAAAAATGTGATACCAAAGTGCAAGTGTTCTACAGTCAACAAACAGATAAACCGCTAGTCCTAAATAAATAGATATTTGAACTAAAAATTTCCGAAACCCTGAGTATGGTATTTTTTAATGCTTCAAAAAACCTTTGCACTCTTGCAAAAGTGTACAACAGTGTTTGAAGATCGTCTCGGGGCTTACACCGGAAGCAAAAAGTACAAATGTTTTTGCTCGTTCGTGAGGGTGTTTTAGCCAGCTGCTCTTCGAACTGTTCTATGGTCAGGTGCGTTGAAGATAGTATAAAATGATGAAAAATTTTCTGAAGTGAACTTGACGCAGTCCAAGATGTGGTTATTCATCTTATTACCTATATTGTGCTTCATTATTGTTTAATTAGAGATTTTCTCAGCATTTGTTGGCTGCCGAGCATGACGGCATTTTTTTTTTGTTCTCAAGCAGTGAACAATGAAAACAATGCGTTTCTCTCAGTCTCTTACCTTCCTAAGTCGTCCAGCCGCTTTTTAGTATTTTAGGCACTTTCTGCAGAAATGTAGCCCATTGTTTTACGTTATGATTCGAGAAGTGTTTATGTTAACTGTAACGTTGAATAATTCGATTATTGGAAAACTGCGCATCTGTCATACAATCAGCTACACTTCTGTCACTGCTAAAACAATTCACTCCAAATATTTCACTTACCTAGCTTACAACGGAATATTTTTAGCATTCAAAATCTCAAGGAGCACTATTTTTTGTAGTCTAGTTAATAATCCGTGTTTGATCAGTTTGTAGTTTGCTCAGAACTTTGCGTTCATACATGTTTCCCCATTTGACTTGCGGTATTTTTGTAAATAACAAATTATAGACAGATAAAATGTGTGCTACAATTCTATATCTCTACGTTGTTCCGTACCGTTTTTATAAAATAAAATACTAGACTACAAGACGGGACACCATGGTGAACCAGAATAAAATCAGTTTACTTTTTGATAATTTCCAAAACTTTTGTTCTGGGTGAGATTCCGTAGTTCACCCGTGCGATGTCATAGGAAATTTTTCAACTTTTTGTCTGCTTGAACTTCATATTTTCTGACATAGTCATTATTAATCTATATCTACCTTCACTGTCAGAAATTTCCTTTTCATTTGGTGAAACAGCTCATTCAACATGATTGATGGCATTAGGAAGTTTTGCATCCTGTTTGTTATTCGAACAGAGATTACATCTGCTTTTCAGGCTTTTGCCTGCGTTTTACGCTTTTTAGCTAAGCTTGCAAAACGATGACTGTCCACATTTATTTCAGCACTTTCTCCATCTTCTCTCTCATTTAAGATATAGCATTGTGCCTTTAGAGGTAATCTCTAATTGTAAGTGCATTGTTATCACCTATTAGGAAGCACTACCTACAATGTTTTATCGCTCAGTAATGTAGGCCGGTGTTTTTGCACCGCTACAGTATGCCATTGGTAACTATGATTGACACTTGAAAGGGGAGCGCCGCAATTAGTATCGTCACATCTGTTCCAAAAATGTTATAAAGTCATATAGATCTACTTGCCCATCCAGTATTCTACAATAAAAATGTTATCTGGAATGCAAAATAGTTTGTTTTTTAGGGCTGTCATGGTTTCAGAAGGAAGACATTGGCAAAAGGCCCGAATCTTTAAATCATTGAGATAATGATAGTTTCTATCTGTTGCAGTAGTTTGCTGTGAAGCCTCTTATCGTGGTTTTTTGTTTATAAGAGGTAAACACACCCTGGTTATTGACATAATGTATCAATATGTTTTTGCTGGCCATAAATTCAAGATTCATTGCTAACAAAAAGCAGTGAAAAAAGAAATGGGCATATGGCCGTCAGAATGCATTGCTTAGGCATGTGCCATAGTGGAATGACAAATTCTGGGCTGCTTGCATTTTTTTTTTTGAATCTTGATAGCCATCAGTACATTATCGAAAGTGATATTATTTAGTTTTGCGATCTATACATCGCTTCATCTCATGTATAATTTACATCTTCTGCTTGCTTTCGTAATACAACATGCATCTCACTCAACTTTTTGTCCATTTTGTACCTCAAACTTCTCCTTCACATAAAATGTTCATCGTTTAAAAGCCATTTCCTGGAATGTTTGTTAGATAAATTCCAAATATCACCATAGCATTAGACCAAATATTGGGCGTCGTAGCATTTCGTTATGGGCTTTTTTAATAATAAAAGTTCTGCTTACATGCGGAGGATAGGGGTACTTTGTAAGGGTTATCAATATTCGCTTTAAGCTGTTGAAAGAAAAAATTTTACCCTGTATCATCACAAGTTTTTTAGCCTATATGCTCTCCCAGAGAACACCTACTAATCCCGAAGAACCGGAAATGAAGTATGATTTGACTATGCGCGTAATGTTTTCTAGGGTACTAGTGTACAATCTGCATTCCTGTTCGTTATTGTTCTGTAGTTGTTTTGTTCTCTACACAAATAAAAACAAACATGTGGCATGCATAGATTGGAATGACACCGGCACTCCGCCTCCTATCCCACCCCCCCCCCCCCCTCCTCACCCATCTCCTCGTCCGTGGGAGCCCCAAATACATGTTAAAAATAAATCGTTAACAAATACCATAACTTGATATTCTTGCGTTCCAGGACAATTATAGATATTTACCCGTAAAAAAATCGGTTGAGAGTAACTTTTGTAAGATGTCCCATCGTGAATATTCTTTTCTACCCGCTCATCTCCCTCTTACTTCCGTCCCAAAGAAATTCTTTGCTTTAAAAATATGCACAGTGACATATCCCATACACCTGACTGACATTTGATTTTTTATGTCATCATTTGATGACATTACGATTTCACGTATTTTTCGCACTTTCAAAAGTTTGCGCTGCAGTGCTCGCACATATTTTTTTCTCTTTTCAATTTTTATTTTGCACAAACTCAAAGGTGGTCTAGTTCTGTCCTTTTTGTACACAGGTGTGTTCTTTAAGTAGGTCATGACACTATTTTTACTACTTTTCAGAGGTGCAACGCTCATTTCATGGCCGACTTTGGGTCGTTGGTATTTTCTTGGTTTTCGGTTAGCAATTTCAAGACAAACTCACGAAAACTTTGAATTCCAAATTGTAGGCTTGAGATGTTTTTGAACTTGTCTGCTTACTTGTCTGCTTTTAGACCTATCTTTACCAAATTTTAAAAAATTGTAGAGGGAGTTTTCGTACTGTTCCTTCCTTGGAATATTTCTTTTCTCTCTTATCTTTTCGCATTAAACTATTCTAACGAGCTTTAAGTGCCCTTTTTATCAATGAATCGCACTCTCAAAACATTTATCCTGCAAAGGAGTCTTTTTTACGGTGTGCTTTTTATTACCCTCGGTGGCCACTTACATCTCAAGCTTTCCTTTGCAGATAGACGGGTACCAACGTTGTTGGCAGAATGCCATTCATACTAGTTCTACTGTTTTTCTTATGTTACTCATCAGTCTTGGGTAGTAACCTCTCAGCTAATCCAAAGGATGTCAAAGTCGAAGTGAATGAATCAGCTAACATCACTTACAAAGCTAGGTGAGTTGCATTGCTTTGAAGATCGCTTGTTTCTTAAAAATTTCAGATATCTTATTTTGAGCTCTAAATTTTTTGCGACAAACGTTGACAGCACGGTAATTGAACACGCCTAAGTTACATCATTAACGCAGGCACAGCATCAAGCGCGTCAGCTGCGGCGTTGCTGTTTCAGGGCGACGCGCATGTTGAAAAAAAAATAAAACGCGTTCTCGTTGCGCTTAATTGCATAAAGATCACATATAACATTTAAAAAAACGAATTTCTTGTCATTTTTTCTCACAAAAATATTATTTTCAGCGTTCAACTTCGAAGTAATGTGCAACTATACTTCAATCATAGCGATTATATCGACATACCAAGTCGAATCGAGCTAGCTCAATCCACTGGTGAAGGACTGTTGGAATTGACTGGTCGGAAGCCGGTCAGTGACCTATACCTCGATATTACTGAGTGCAGGAGTGATAATGCAACGGAGTGCGAGCTTGAGTGAGTTTTTAGTTGTAAATACAGCGGCTACCTGTATAAACCGTTTGTAAATTGGAAAAAATGACCAAGGTACCATTGAGTCTTCGACGCACGGACTGGTCGTAGATTGCGGAATACGCGCCGTGCTCCAAACGTGCACCAGTACAAATCGCCATTGTACAAGTCGCGCTCTCGTGAAATCTCAGTCGCGCCGCGCCTGCTCCGCAATCTACGACCGGTCGATTCGTGCGGTCGACGAGACTCGACTATTGTATTTTTTACAAATAAATTGCAGTTTTTCCTGATAATTTACTCTAGGGTTCTGTTTACAGCATAAATGACGCATATGTTGGAGTGAGTGTCATCAGATCACATACTATTGACGTCTTAACAGTAGTAGTTGGATGGATGTATTTTGTGGCGTGGAGTATATCATTCTATCCTCAGATCATACTCAACTTCCAAAGAAAAAGGTAAATTCAATATATAGGCAGTCATCGCAAGCGGAGATCGGATGCCGTTGCGCTCAAACAAAATCACGTATCTGAGGAAGGCAGCAGACGACCAGAGGATTGAGTGCGTGAGAGACGCCGACAGCGTTCGCAGTGGCGCAGGTCTCTGCGTGCGATGAATCGCCTAAAGGCATCATCATTTCTAATCCTTTTTTCATTTAACTCACGCAAAGGAAGAGGTTGCTGACCAGAAAGATTTTTTTAACTTGGAAATGCCTTCCATTCTGTTTTTTTTCCATTTTTTAGTTCTGTCACTCAAATTTATGATTTGTTTCCAGCGTTGCCGGTCTAAATTTTGACTTCCTCTGTTTGAATATCATTGGTTTCACAGCCTATACGCTTTACAACGTGTTGATGTATTGGGATCATGCTGTCCAGGTAGGCTTTTATATCTGTGTGCTCAAGCAATTTACAACATTTGATTTTTTTACAGAAAGAATATTTGAAAGAACATCCAAGGAGTCCCATCCCAGTCCTATTGAACGATGTTGTATTCGCGATACATGCTCTGACTGCTTGTATCATTACTGCTGCGCAATGTTTCTTTTTGGAGGTAAGAGACATGAACTTTGTTTTTTATGTTGTTTTTGCCAAATTTGTGATGCTCGAGGTTCTTTCTGCTTCTGTTGCGCAGCTCGACCCCGAATTTGCGTTCACAGGCAAAAGTTTGATTTTGTTTTCTCCAGCCTTTTTTTAGCTTTTTTGTGACATTTGTGCCAAAATAATTACAACTAAATAGGAGTAAGCATGAACAAGGCAAACTCAGTCATCTTCTCTCTTCCTCAATCTAAACCATAATTTACCCCTTTTCAGAGAGCTTCATTTCAGCGAGATCACCAGAGGGTGTCTAAGATATGCATGGGTCTTTCAACCATCCTCATCCTCTTCGGCGCTGGATCGGGAATCGTTGCTCTACTCAAATTGATCACGATTCTACAATTTATACAGTGCTTCTCATACATAAAAATGGTTGTGACCCTATCGAAATACTTTCCACAGGTAAGAAATACATTTATCTGATCATTACGTTTCCATAAGAATCTGGACACAATCTGTGTCAACCATGTGCTCCTTTTCCTGTAGCAATTCATCCGCAGCGCGCGGGCATTGCGCAGCGATACGCGATCGATACGGCAGATTTATATGTCAGGTGGTACTCCCACGAGCGCGGCGCGAGATTCTAGCGTTGCGCTTGAGTTGGTCGGAAAGGAGAACATCGTTGACACAGACTATACATGGAAAATGACTATCTCTTCGTTGTTTGCAGATGTTGTTCAACTTTCGACGCAAAAGTACAGTGGGCTGGTCGATTGGCAACATTCTGCTCGATTTTACTGGTGGTACCCTCGACATCGTTCAGATGGTGCTCCAGTCATACAATGTTGACAATTGGTCCGCTTTCTATGGAAATCCTGTGAAGTTTGGACTCGGATTAGTATCGATAATCTTCGATATTATCTTCATGTTCCAACATTATGTATTGTATAGAGGAGTAACTGTAGTCCACGCTGAATACGATGGGATTGAAAATCCTGAAGCTCCACAAAGTCCATCTGCCCCAGATTATGGAGCAACTGATCAGCCCATCCTCGAAAACGAGGAACAAAGGCATTGAAGCGACACTGACTATATGTTCATATGTTGTAGATAGATTGTTGCTGTATTGTTGAACAATCACATCTATTTATTTATTCAATACAATAAATCAATGATGTCACTTTATATTATTATGAGATAAGAGAATGATTATTTACATCGTTCAGCTTTCTCTAGAATCGCTTCTTTGAATAGAGAGAGACATGCTTGGAGTGTGACAGACTCCTAAAATTGGTTGACAAATAAACACACCATGAAGAAGAATGAAAGTAAAAGAAAAAGTTTCCCTTTAACGGTGAAGCAAGTAAAATAGCTTCATTTAGTTCAGGTCTAGCATCAAATACCTCTCACTTCCCTTCCTTAAAAAAGCAGAGTGAAACTTAAAAAAGCCAGGAGTCTCAAAAGAGGTTTCACGTGAGTCTTCCAAAAATGAAAACAGGGGGGGGGGATATTTACAAGTTTTCCTACTCAGATCCACATTCTGAAACCCAAGCTACATTGAAGGGTCTCTTTTCTCATTCAGAAAATCAAGTAGTAATACTCCCATTAAAAAAAGGCGGAAGTATGGATCTTTCGTATTTTGACTTACCCCATCAGCTTTAGACCATGCCAGCGCAGGTACTTGTCGTATGGATCGTCCACTGAGCCCTTGCGCAAGCTTCGCTAGTTCCAACAGCTCACATCCAGCAGGGTAAAGCGTTTCTTGGTCTTTGAGCTCCCTGATAGAAGGCAGCCGCTCATCTGTGCCAACTACTCCTATCTAAAGGCAGTAAGAGGTGCGAACATGGAATCAAAATTGGACTCAACTAAAAACTGTATACGGCTAGCCTTACCCTGATGAGTTCCTCGATGCATTTGGCCAGAATGGAATATAGGGCAACAGCAGATGGCTGTCCTACGTGTTTTACTACATCTGCACGATCCAGCAATGCTCGATCCAAGCAATCTTCAAGATTTGAAGTGCACAAGACGATCACATTCGGGCGTCTTAAACATACAGTACCACTTTTGAATGTTCCAACATAAAATTAATCAATGAGTCACCTTCTGATTCTGTCAATTTGAGTAAGAAGCGCGTTTACGGCTCTTATCGAATCAGCTGGATCTCCTCGACTCGTCGACGCATCACGCGACATTCCCAGCGATTCTACCTAATGTCGAATTACTATGTAACGTAGATTTAGCGAAATATGGGAAAAATGTACCTCATCAATCAGTACAAATACAAGACATTTGCCGTCTTCAGCCATTTCGTCTATTTGATCAAACATTTTGAGAACAAGCTTTCCGCTCTACAAGAAGAAGCCTTTGTATTCAGTTACATTGTATAACTTAAATAATTCAGATATGACTGAAGCATAGAGTTCTAGTTCCTCGACAGAAAAAAAAACCGAAGTATGGAAAAAAAGAGTTGTAAGAAAACGGAATGCCAAAAAAACCCATCTCAAAAATAGGTAATTTATTGAAAAAGAAAACAAATAACAACAATCAAGGGAATATTTGTGATAATACTCACCTCGGAAAACCATTTTGAAAAAAGACTGTGGCTGTTAATTTCCACCATTACCGATGTTGAAAACCTCGCGTTCAAACGGATTGATAAATGTTGAGCTACACCTCGACAAAGGGTTGTTTTACCCGTCCCAGGAGGACCTAAGGCGAACTGTATAAAGAAAACCATAGAACGAACTCTAAATATCGCAGACCTAGTAATATAATGAGTCGATTTACGTTGATCACTTTCATGTCGGCGCCTTTGTCAGAAAGCTGGATTAAGGCATGTACATATGACATGAGCTGAAAAAGGGAACATAACACATGACACATTGACTTGGTAATTAGATTTACCTCATTTTTGACATCAGTGTCGTAGATAAGATTTTCCCACAAATTTTCAAATTCCATACATGGTAACTCCCATAGAAGTGATCCCATTGCGTTTTCGTCCGAGTTTTCATCGACTGAAAGTTCTTTACGTATAGTTTGCGTCAAAAATATATATTAGCAGAAAATAATTTGCCAAAAAGTCAGGACTTGCGCAAAAAGACAAACCTGAGAGAGATTGCGACATTGCTCCATCACAGTGGAGTTTGTAAAAGTGCACATTTTGATCGCACAAACTTATTTTATCCAGAATATCATCAAGTGGATAAGCATCGGAATAGTTCATGCAACCAACCATGATGCTTTGGATTAGCTCTACAATAAAAGTTTGCTTTTTCTAGAGCATAATGTTTTCAAAAGCTCACCAGCAAAACACTTGTGTTCATCGATCACAACTAAGTCTTGCATCAGCATTGGAATCCAGTTCCGAAGACTTTTTTGCTTTTTGATGAAGGCCTCCAGCTCTGGAAGTTTTCCCTCTAGCTGCGACTTTGCGCTGAAAAGTGAGTTTATTTGAATAATCAAATTCGAAAACAGAGTGATTCAAACAGCTCTTCTAGCTAAGCAGTGACAGTTTTATCTATAATAAATAAGTCTCACTCAACCTAATCCACAAAAATCACTCACACTCCCTTCTTCAGATGCACTTCAACTTGAGGTCTGAATTTCCTCGGCAATCTTTCCTCCACAGCTACACAATGTCCATTTGTAATGCATTTTTTCGGCGAACTCACTGTAGACTCTTCACGTTCAGGAATCATCTTCTGAATGCGATGTGTCAGACTTAGTGTCATTCGTGCACACAGAAACAAAACTTCGACAAACTCAATTAGGAATAGTGCTTATTCGGCTGAAACTTGCATAAGGCACAGATATTGAAGTGCAGAAATCAAGTTGGTAGTGTGAAGGCACTTGAAAATTTAAATTATTGCACATCCCGCGGCTAGTGTTCCCGATGGAGCGCAATTACTACACCGCCGAACGCAGACTCCGTTGCAATAAAAACGTTGATTTGTGGCCCACTTTGCATTCAATTCATTCGTGAAATGCAAGAATTTGTTGTGGAATCATTTTTACATGCAAAAGCAAAACTCATTTAGATACATCCGCGGCGAGGATAATGCGATGTTACTGAGCAAGGCAGGGAAGGAAGACAGATCTGCAATAGCGCTGCGATGTACCTTTAGAACAAGAGCAGGAAAGAAAATAAAAAAACATGGAAGGGTAAAGAACTCAAAAGCAAGATGGAGGAATGGTGAGTCCTTCGACCTTCGGGAGCAAATGGCTCCCAGAAAAGTTCGAAATGTCAGAATCACTAGGTCGTTCCAAAAGTTCGAAGCGGTTTAGTTCTGTCGTCGTTTTCCAATAAATCCGTTGGTTTACGACAAAGTATAAAGTGCGTGTCAATCACATGCTCCCTTCCCCGTACACGCACTAAGCTTCGCCCCATGTTCGCGAGCGCATGACTCGGGCATTCAAATAAGCCTCCTCGACCGGAGGTCCTCAAGCACGACCCTTGCGTTGCGCATGCGTAGTTCCCATGCAGAAGGGAGTACGTAACTGGCATTAACTGTAGATAACTTTCGATCGCACGGAGTGGTCGTCATTGCGCCGCACGCAAAGCATGCTTAAATGCTTGTCCAGTACAAAATGCAATTGTAACATTTGATTCAACTGGCTTGGCACCATTAGGGCGGGGTTTTGTGATCTAATTGAGGCCGCTCGCGCCCGCGACGCACCTGCGTCTCTCTCGCGCGAGTGCTCTCTGATCATTACCTAGCCTTAATTAGGTCACGAAGCCCCGCCTTTGCCGATGCCAAGCCAGTTGAATCAAATGGTACATGTAGGCCGTGCGCGCTACGCTCATAGAGCTAGGGATCGGCCATACTATTCGTGCTATTCCTACGACTCCTGCGATTCCTGTGAGTCCCGCACAGTTTAGACGCCGCTTAAATGAGCGCGTGTTGCGTAAAACAACACGTAACACGCAACACGCCCTCATTTAAGCGGCGTATAAACTGTGCGGGACTCACAGGAATCGCAGGAATAGTATGGCCGATCCCTAACGCTTTTGCGTCCACTGAGATTAGTTCATGACTGGAAGAGGCGCAGGGAAAACAAGCCACGAGAGTGCACGTGGAACGTGGAGTGACGCGAGTACACACCCGCGGAATGCCTATAACTCCAATCCTAACCAGGCCAAAATCGGCATGGCGGGAGTCCGCGTCGCTAGGGATTCGCGGTCACGCCCACGGCCTATTTCTCCGCTCTCTTCAATCCTTTGGCTCTCTGCGATAGCGCGCATATGCGGCGCAGACCGCTAGCGCTGCGAGCGCGCAAATTTACGCCGACGCTTCGGCCTGGTCCCGGTTGGAGCAGACTGTAACTGCTCTCGCATCGTCCGCGCGAGGTTGCTGCAGACACGGCAGCCCGTGCGATTGTGAATAGAGGACACCTGCACCATCCGAAAGAGTCGAATAGAATTAATAGGTTTGTATTTTATCGGTTATTCCACCTTATTCTTAAAACTTTTATCAAAGAACACATTGTCCCTTTGTTCTTTGGTTTAATGTGGTACTGATAACGCTGAAATGCTTGTTAGTGTTTTTTCACAGCTATCAGCCATGTGGACGTAGACAATGTGTAGTGGGAGTGCTCAGCTTTGCATCTGCTTTTCTCTTAGACGCCGATAGTATAGTGCCCTTGCAGAGACACATCAATAGGGACCTTTGACCAAAAAAGGCGAGCTATGATGGCTGTATATAGTCGAGCACAATTGAGCGGTAGTGCTTGAACCAAGGAAGTAAAGGCTGATCCCTGACAAAGACGGTCGGCTCATGCTGCGACGCGGTCGCAAACATAGCTTCGCGCACTTTGATCATCGGAGCGCGTCCGCGCACGCGTCGTTTACGTGGACACAGCATTCGTCTGGGGCTGGCCTCTAGCCGCGCTTTTCAAGCTGTACCTAATTTGATTTACGAAAGCAGATTCTCAACATGCATTTATTCGGAACAGAAGGCTAAATCCCACCTCACTGCGGAGTGTGAGTCATTGGTTCAAAAAGAGATGAAATAAAGATCTCACGAAAGGTAATAGTTGTAAAAGAATTTCCATGGTGACAAGCAGTTACGGGCGACATTTGATTAGAATGACTTTTTTCAAGTCATCCTATCTCCATCACCAAGGAGATCCACCTGGCTGCCATGTTATAGAAGTTGCAGTATGTCTATTAATTCAATTATTTTTTTTTTCGTTATTGAAAGTTAGCGGCTACTTTGGAAACCTTTTGCCTTCCATATTTCTATCATTCTGTGCCTTTCCGTGCCCCGATTACAGTTATAAAGTTCAAAATGTGCAGAACCCCAAAAAACCGATTTTGGGAGCCCTATCGTGAAGGCACACTTCCAGCAACCTGGGTGGGCGGAGCTTGATAAGGTGGGCGTGCCCTGATTGTACTTTCATGGGTTCCAGGTTCATTTCTCCCTTCGGAGACCACATTGCGGGACCCGGACTAACGGAGGTACTCCTCTCCTGAGGCCTATTTTCAGGCTGAATATTAGTTGCATGAGTCGCTTAGGTTTTGCATGAACGCTGCTTTTGAGAATATTGAGAAAAAACTCGCACACTACGATATGAAGAGACACCACACCTTACCCAGCATTTGAAACGATAATTATCGCGAATGAAATCGAGCAAACGCTCTGCGGTCATTCCAACATACGGAAATGAATTGAATGTAGAGGGGAGGATAGCGATAATCATAAGCACCACAGATTCTTTCGTAATGTTAGCTGTATCATTAGTATTATAATCTTTAAATAATTCCCACAAGTTTTTTTTCTAAGTCACTACTCTTCTACAAGTTCAACAATATCGTTTGACTTGATACAGTCTATGGAAAAAATTCTTGCGCTTTGAGCGGTGCTTGTACTGAATTGCTTGTTAGCATTTTGCGGCGATTCGACTCTAAAATTCTTAAAATGATTGTTGAAATGTGACCTAGGTACTTCTGATCGGATGTCTCTACGATAGTTATAGTTTTTCAAATGAGATCTCTAATGTGATAAATGCAAAGTTATAATATTTGTGCATTTAATCTTCACTTACAATCATACTGGTCACCAGGAAAAAACAAAATAAAATAGATCTAAACAAGCATACCAATCTCAAACACAGCGAGATCGTGAGCAAGATGGAAAACAAAAACAAAATGCTCCAGACAACATACTATTAGGTTGGCTCGAAAGTTCTGGGACATTTTCGAACTAGATCTGCTATTTCTCGAAACCTAACGCATATATTATACATTAGATAGAGGTACCATTCGATAAGGCAAAGCAAGCTCTACAAAATGGTATGCAAAAGTTTGCAACAGCTTCGACCCACCGTAAGTTGGCACCCGAAATCTGAGTCGTACTGAAATACAAAAAATCGCGAAAAATTTATATTTTTGTTCAAACAAATCTACGGATCTCCGACTTGCTCACAAAAATCGCACAGCACATGAGACACTCATATGCACCGTTCCTGTATTTTTTTCTCATCTGGAAATCGAGAAAACGTAAATTTTCATGTTTATAAAAAGACGAGCTACGCTGTTCCCACTCACGTGATTATAGTACAAGCCCTTAGAAGTATGTAAATTTTCAGCTTTCTACGAGCCCTTGTTGTCGAAAAATATTGATTTTAGCATGGAACGCCCGAGTGAGGAGAACTCAATTCGGCAATTTTCGAGAACTAGGGTCTTTAGAAAGCTGAAAATTTACGGTTATACTTCTAAGAGCTTGTACTATACAATTACATGGGTGGAAACAGCACAGCTTTGTTTTTACATAAGCATGTAAATTTTCGTTTTCTCAATTTCCACATGAGGAAAAAACACAGGAACGGTGCATATAAGTGTATGATATGGTGTGCAATTTTTGTGAGCAAGTCGGAGACCCGTAGGATTGATTTGAACAAAGATAAGAATTTTTCGCGATTTTTTGAATTTCAGTACGACTCAGATTTTGGGTGCAAACTTATGTTGGGTCGAAGCTGGTGCAAACTTTTGCATACCATCTTGTAGAGCTTGCTTTGCTCTATCGAAGGGTACCTCTGTCTAATGTATATGCGTTAGGTTTCGAGAAATAGCAGATCTAGTAATGTCCGAGAACTTTCGAGCCAACCTAATTAAAGCGAAAATGTGATTTGGATTTTTTTTGTGCTTTCCACATATTTTCTCGTAATTTTGCTTCAGCTTATCAGATCGAATGATTTTCTCCCTCTTTCACAAAAGAAAAAAGATCCTCCAGTTGTCTTTCGTTGAAATCATTCCTTTGGTCTTTTAAAGATGACTTCTATCTTCCGGATGATATCTATTATAATATCCTCAAGCTCCTCAGAAGTTTTCTCGGAAACGCAAAACCACCTTTTTTCATCAATTCACTTTATTTTTTGTTGCTTAAAACTATTCATCTTCCCAAGAGATTGCTTAGGCCCTCCAGTCTCTTGCGCTCACAGCATTTCCCTTAAATTTCCTCTAGAATTGCATTTAATTCGAATTTTCCACTTTATGTAGGGCTTTTGTTGCGTGCCCGGAAATTTTCCACCCACGTTAGAGATTTTTCGAATCTTGGAAGTTCGATTTTGCGCCTTAGCGCCCAAGTTTCTGTGAAATCTGTAGCACAGCTGAAATGTCACACATTATTATTTGTTTTATGGTGTTGTCTTCTATCATAGGTTTGCTATCGCCTTCAGTTTATGAGTTTGATTTTTATTG